CGACCCGGCCAATGGGGCGGCCCCGCGCCTCACCTCCCTTCCCCGCGGCTCCCGCGGCCGTTCAGTTTGCCCCTCGGCCCACACTGGCCGCCAACTTGCAGGAGCCAGCACGCGGCTCCTCAGGGTAGGCAGGAGTGAGACAGCGGGGTGTCTAGGCGCTGAACACCCGAAGCCCTGCGTCCCTATCGCCTGCCCCCCTCCTCATACTTACAGGACGGAAATGCTGTCCTCGTACAGAGTGCGGGTAGCGGTGGCAGAAGTGCCTCACACAAGGCCCACAGGCACCCTCCGCTGTAGTGACGGAGTGACAGACGCGCGGGAAGAATGTCTGACTCCGCTCGCCAGCTCTGGGACAAACGAGCGACCACAGACGCAAGGCGGGGGGGCAGGGCAACCAAGATTCAGCCAATCGCCTCTCACTGCTGCCGCCTCGGCCCCGCCCCTTCCCGCGCCTGCGCGATAGGTGGCAGCTTGTACTGTTTCGGGGCAGGAGGGACGCCCAGGGTTGAGTGGGGCGGTGAAGTCAGTGCCTTCTGACCTCGCCTTTCCCCTTTGCTGATGGGGATAGAGGTAAAGCCCCAAGGGACTCCACACCGGAAGAACAAAATACTGTGTATACATGCATAATGTATTTATTTAGTAATTGTATGTTTATGGCATTGTTTAGGAGAAATATATAAAATATGAAAAATATTTAGGATATATTTATAGGAGTATATAACTATTTTAACTATAACAAAAAGTTACATAAATGTATAAAATGTAGAAATATATGAAGTCTAGATTCAAACAATACACCAACTGGACAACTATCAGAAGACAGGATTTCCAGAATAAGAATGCTGCTAACCAGTGTTAAATGTCAGCCCTGAGCTATTTGACTTTGAGATACAGTAACTCTGACTTCCACAGCCTGTTCACTCCCAGATTGGGGTCGATGACAAAAAATATGGAACCTGGCTAGGGGGAGCTGATTCCCACAGCGCTAGAAAGGGTCATGGATGGCCCATCATTTTAAAATACATATAAAATTATATATAAAACATTATTTTTCAGATAGCCTATACTAAATAAAATATAAATAAAGTATATAGTGGTGTTTCTTTCCAGAACGAAAATGTTAGGTAAAGAAAATGTCTTCCATATGAATGGTAAGCAAGCAGAGATGGAGAATCTACAGGTCACCATAATAAAAAGCTTACAGAGCCACAAGAGACTGGCCATTGCCCAGACTTACAAAGCCTAAGTATCCAAATGCTATCTCTAGTTGCCAATGGTATTGATTAGTTTTGGAATGGTGGTGAGGGGAGACTTTTACTTTATGTATTTTAGTATTTGAATTGTTTTTTTTTTTTAATTCAACATACCAAAGGAGGCAATGCCCTCTTTAGGAAACATTGTGAATTCCCTAGAGTCTGAAACAACAATTTCAACAGCTTAGGTTAGACTCCTTCTACTTTGCCTACCAAAGAACCAACTATTTATGAGAGAGTAATTCGAATCTATTTGTGATCTGGTTAGGAAGTCATTAGCCACAAAGGGCTACTGAACATGTGAAATATGGCTAACTTCACAGGATGTGTTATTATGTAGAATATGCAAGGTTTAACAGACACAAAAAGGAATGTAGGAAGTGGCTCAGTGGTAGAGCACTTGCTTAGCATTGTGGGGGCCCTGAATTTGATTCTGGGCCCCTAGCAAAGAAGTTAATTATCGTCATAGTTTTGGTATTGGTTACATGTTGAAATGATACTTTTATATACTCAGATAAATACAAATACTACTAAAATTCTTTTCACTGGTTTGTTTTTCCTTTTTAAAATGGCTACCAGAAAAGAAAAAGGAGGGCTGGGGATTTAGCTCATTGATTCTACCGCCTGCCTTGCAAGTACAATGACCTGAGTTCGATCCCCAGTACCAAAAAAAAAAAAAAGAAAAAGAAAGAAAAGAAAAAGTTATGGCCCTACTTGTCTCATGTTTTAGCTCTACAGGACACAGCTTCTGGAAACTGTTGTAATGTACCACAGGATGCTCTCGCAGCCCAGTGTGGGTGTTTAACACAGCTAAAACACTGAATCACAGGTTCAGGGCCTCATACCTTGAGGAAACAGCAAACAGACTGAAAACATTCCTCTCTCAAAACATATAGAACCCTCAGGCCCCCAACTACTGGAAAACTTGTACTTTCCTATTAGTTTTGAAGTATAAATTCATAGGAAAGTAATTTTGTAGAGATCTGAAAAAGGTCACATTATCACATGAATAGAATTCAACTATGGTGGCACACACCTGTAATCTAAGATGTTTGAGGGCTGAGGGAGGAGGATCCCAAGTTTGAGAGCAGCCTAAGCAACATAGCACAACCCCATCTCAAACAAAACAAGAATTTTTTCTAGGCACTCAAATATATTGGAGTATCTTATTTATATAAGGAACCCATGAGTATTGAGGCTTAAATTATTCAGTAATACTGCTACATGTAAGATCCTTTAATTTAGTATGATCTTAGTACTTTTTACACAACTTTTGGAAAAATATCCATCTTTTTATTTACCCAGTTCTAAGCACAAGCTCCATGGCTGTGCATTATTGGAATGTTTCATCTTATCTTGTCCAACAGCACTTATAGTTAGTTTGTAAACAGAGAAGGGAGGAAAGAAACCACAATAATGTGTGATAATAGAAAAAACCAAGTCATTTACCACAGAGTAAAGCATAATAATAAATTGAATTGCCAGTGGAAAGCAATAGAATCAATTGAGATGACAGAGAATAAATGTGTCTTTTTAAAATGTGTTGTTTACTGAGGCTAAACTGAATTCCTAAGATTTTTCAGTCAGATTGCAGAAATTTCCCACTACATGATAATCTGTATTGTTCTGAAAAGTGTCCTTGGAGAACAAATAACAATTCATTATTTCCTTTTCAAAAGACTCAAGTAGGGCCTATTTTGGTGGCACACCCCTGTAATCCCAGCACTTGGGAGGCTGAGGCAGGAGGATCACAAATTGGAGGCCAGCCTGAAACAGCAAAAAACCAAACCAAACAAAACAAAGCAAAAGATAAGGAAGCAGGATTATATACCAAGGAAAATGAAAAATAAAAAACAAGGTAAATTCAGTCGGTGATGGACATTTCTCTTCTCATTGTATTTGGGTTTGGGTTAGTTTTCAGTTTGGGGGCTGAGGATTGAGCCCAGGGCCGTGGACACCACTGATCTACACTGCCAGCTCCTACTGTATTTGCATTTTAAGGGAATGTTTTTATTTTTCAGGTTTCAAAGCAGTGAGTATTTGTCTTAGTTACTTTTCTCTCATTGCTGAGACAAAATACGAGACACCCAAAGTTAAAGGGGAAAGGATTTATTTAGATCACTGTTTGTAAAGATTTCAGTCCATAATCAGCTGGCTCCAAGGCAGTGCGGCACATGGCAGAGGGGCGTCACAAAGGAGAAATAGTTCATGGGGCCTACATGATAGCAAAAGCTACCAAGGGAACCTAACAGCATCTTCCTGCCCCTTTTATCTGATCCACACTACCTGGACTAGTGCCAACCCAGTCAGATCCCTGGTTTAGTAATCACACACTCTCGATTCAATCACCTCTGAGAACAGCCTATGACTGCATGAGGCTTTGGGGGGACATTTAGACCCAAGTCATAACAATATTGCTTTTTGTATTGTTTTGGCTTCTTGTTTTGATTCTTGAGACAGGGACTCACTATGTAGCCCAGGCTGGGCTCGAACTCACAGTGATGCTCTTGCCTTAGCCTCCTCTGTGCTGGGATTACAGGCGTGCGCCACCACACCCAGCTATGAAAGTATACTGTTGAGTGAATTTATATGATAAAAATGAATTTTTAGCTATACAAGTGAAGATGAGTATATTAGGGGTCCACAGAGAAACAACTAATTAGAAATTTGTTAATTAATAATGAATTGGCTCATGTGATTAGAGAAGCTGGTAAGTTCAGAATCTGAAGAGCCAGTGTCCTAGTTTGACTCTGAAGACCAGAAGCTACTATAGTATCAGAAAAGGTCCCTGTTTGAAGATCATGAGCAGGAAGAGATGATTTTCCAGATCAAAAGCCATCGGATGGGAGAATGCTCTCATTTAAGGGTAGAGGGATATCTTGGTGTATCAGCTTTTGTTATATTCAGGCCGTCAATGAAACGGATAGGACCCACCAACATTATGGAAGACCGTCTTCTTTATTCTGCTTTTAAATTTTGTCATGGTTTAGATCTAAAATGTCCCCCCAAAGTCTTCAGAGGTGGGGGCTTTTGGAGGGTGACTGGAACATGGGGTGAATCCAATGATGAGTTCAGTGCTGTTGGGAAGTGGGGCCCAGCTGGAGGGGGCTGGCAGGTCTCCAGGAGGGTGTATCTTTTGCTCAGGCTTTTCTACTCTCTCAGCTTCTTGGCTACTATGGGTTGCACAGCTTTTCTCTGCAAGGCCCTCCTGCCACGCCATTTCTGTGGCAGCTTTGAAGCAGCTTGCCATGGGCTGAACTCCCTGAAACTGTGAGCCAAAATAAATCCTTCTTCCCTTAAATTGTAGATATCATGGGTTTTTGTCCCTGGGATGGTAAAGCCAATCCAAATATCAATTTCATCCAAAATTACACAGAACTCCACAATAATGTCTGAGCAATTGTGGACACATTGTGCCCCAGTGAAGTTGACACATAAAACTAAACATCAGTGAGAAAGACCTTAACAGAGGAGGTTTGGATGTTGTAGAGTAAGAAGGCTCCAAGCATGCTATGGTCTATGCTCAGCTGACAGAAGGAGATGTCTTATCCTTGTAAAACAAACAAACAAAAAACTCCAAATCATTGAAACCTTACATTGAGTTAAATACTTGCAACTCTGTTTTCTAGTAACAGACATCAGATGGGAGTGGATAACTTTTTGTGTAATCCAGCAATTCAGATGAAAACCTTAGGTAGAAAACACATTAGAGTTTGTCTGGTCCGTGGCCTGAAATATCTTTTTTGTGCTGGTGCTCTGGTGTAGGTAAACTTGGTGTTCTGATAATTCACATTTCAAGCACAATAAAGGATCTTCACTGTCAAGATCTTATTTTGCATGAAAGGGAATTATATTTGTTTGCTAGGACTGCCATAATAAAGCACCATGGAGGGTGAATTAAACAGCAGAAATTCATTGTCTCCTAGTTCCTGTAGCTAGTAGTTTAAAAGCAAAATGTTGGTAGTTCCAGCCTGATACCCAGCTTCCCTGCTGCAGCTGCAGGTGCTGCTGCTGCTCTCCCCACCCCCTCTGAAGAACGGGCCAGAAAAAGGTCTGCAATGGGGCAGAGATCAAAGAGGGACCCAGGGCCATTGTTAACATCATGCAAAACCCCAGAGCCCAATAAGCTGTGATTGATGTAGTTAGAGTCCCCAAAGCAGCAGCAGTCTCAGTGTTAGTCTT